CTCGATCCCACGACCCGGGGATCATGACATGAGCTGAAGGCAGATGCTTAACGACTGAGCCACCCAGGCACCCTAAATTTGTGTTGTTTTAAACCACTAAATTTGTGGTAATTTGTTATAGCAGCAATAGGATACTAATAATTTTAAACTCACAGAAAGGTTGTAAGACTAAGGATAGTACCCTTTAGTCATACTCACCTATTGTTAGTATTTTACTCTGTTTTATCATTCTTCCTCTTGTTTTTCTTTCTTTCTGAACCACTTTAGAATGCGTTGTGTATGTCATGACCTTTTACTCCAGCGATGTGGGAGCAGTTCAGTTTCCCCATGTCCTTACTGTCTTTTTGATTATAGTCATTCTGATGGGGCATGAAGCAATATCTCATTTTTTTTTTAAAGATTTTTTATTTATTTGAGAGAAAGAATGAGAGAGAGAGAGAGAGCACATGAGAGGGGGAGGGTCAGAGGGAGAAGCAGACTCCCTGCTGAGCAGGGAGCCCGATGCGGGACTCGATCCCGGGACTCCAGGATCATGACCTGAGCCGAAGGCAGTCGCTTAACCAACTGAGCCACCCAGGTGCCCTCATTTTTGGTTTTGATGTGCATTTCCTTGATGACTAATGATATTGAGCATCTTTTCACATGTTTCTTAGTCATTAGTATATCTTCTTTGGTGAAATGCCTATTCAGGTTCTTTGCTCATTTTTAAATGGAATCATATATCTTTTTATTATTGAATTTTAAGAATTTTTATGTATTTATATTTACTAGATAGATGATTTGTAAGTATTTTTCTCCCAGATAGTTTTCTCTGTGGCTTGTCTTTTCATTTTCTTAATGGAGTCTTTTGAAGTACAAGTTTTTAATTTTGATCAAGTTGAATTCATCCCTTTTTTTTTCTTTTATAGATCATGCTTTTGTGGTGTCACATCAAGGAAAGGCAAATATCACTTTTCAGAGAATTATGAGATTTGCTTTATTCTCCATCTAGTGATCAGATCCATTTATTGTGTGAGCTTTGTTGAAATGTGTGAGGACTTGCCTCTGGGTGATGATCACATTTATTCCATCCTCCTCTAGGCGGCTGTTACTAGTGAGGCAATATAATATTGATCAAAAGTGTAGGCTTGTGGCCTGACTGCTTGGGTTTGAATTTTGGCTTCATCCCTTACTAGCAGTGTTATTTGGGAAAGTGACTTTATTTCTCTGTGCCTCAGCTCAGTTTCCTCATCTGTAAAATGGGGATAATACATCTTTCCTCATAGGCTGTTTGTCTATGTAAAGTGCATAGGAAATGCCTGGAACAGAATAAGGACTAAAAAAATATTAGCTCTTATTACTAGGGGAGCAATTCTCAACTGTAGTTTGGGATGGAGTTGTGCATATTGGAATCATTTGAGGGACTTTTTAACACTTCGCATGCCTTTCTAAAGTGACAGGTTCTGTCATGGGTTAGAGCAACTGGGGTGATAAACATTGCACTTAGCCTTCCTTGAAACATTTAAAGCTGATTGTTCCTTAAAATCACTTTCATTAAGTGAGGCAATTTGGGTTGATGTGTAGAATCACAAAACTCTTCATCAGATATAAAAATAGCTCAAGCTCCATTAACACTTAGAAAATGAATAATCTATTAACTCCCATTGCCAAGGCAAAAATTAGGCAGTCTTAGGCAAGCCAAGAACAGAACGTAAGCTATCTGTGTTTGATAGATATATTTCTCTGCCTTTGGGGTGGTTTATTAGCCCAAGAATCAGATTATGGGACCAAAACTTGCAATTCAGAGATAAAATTCCTGTTTTGCTCTTGTTGGAGGAGAAGATTCTCAACTCTTTTTCTTGTCTTCATTTGCGGGATGAATATAATGAAACTTGAGACCTACTTCCTTCAAAAGGGATTCATGATCTGACATGGGGCTAGTATCAGGATATTTATTTTTTATTTTATTTTTTTTTTAAAGATTTTATTTATTTGAGAGAGAGAGAATGAGAGATAGAGAGCACGAGAGGGAAGAGGGTCCGAGGGAGAAGCAGACTCCCTGCTGAGCAGGAAGCCTGATGTGGGACTCGATCCCAGGACTCCAGGATCATGACCTGAGCCGAAAGCAGTCGCTTAACCAACTGAGCCACCCAGGCGCCCTAGTGTCAGGATATTTAAAGAATTTATACAACTCAACAATAAAAAGATAGAAAATGGGCAAAGAATTTGCATAGACATTTCTCCAGAGGAGGTGTCCAGCTAGGACATGAGAAGATATTCAACATCATAGGTCAACAGGGAAATGCAAATCAAAATACAATGAAATACCATTTCATGCCCACTAGGATGGCTATAATAAAATTTTAAAAGGAAAGTAGTAAGTGTTGGCAAAGGTGGAGAGAAATAGGAACCCTTGTACAGTGCTGCTAAGAATGTAAAATGATTCAGCTGTTGTGGAAAACAGTTTGGTGGTTCCTCAAAAATTTAAGCATTAGAATTACTATATTAACCCAGCATTAGAATTATTATATTAACCAAGCTGTTCCACTTTTAGGTTTATACTGAAAAGAACTGAAAACATGGTAACACAGAAACTTGTACATGAATGGTTATAGCAGCATTATTCATAATAGCCATAAGATGGAAACAACACAAATGGCCATTAAGGGATGAATGAATAAACAAGTTTGTATGTTATATGTTATATATAAACAATGGAATATAATTCAGCCATAAAAAGTAATGAAGTACCAATACATGGTACAATTTGGATGAACTTTGAATACATACTGAGTGAAAAAAGCCAGACACAGCAGTCATATATTTTATGATTCCTTTTATTTATTTTATTTTTTTTAAAGATTTTATTTTATTTTATTTATTTGAGAGAGAGAATGAGATAGAGAGAGCATGAGAGGGGGGAGGGTCAGAGGGAGAAGCAGACTCCCTGCTGAGCAGGGAGCCCGATGTGGGACTTGATCCTGGGACTCCAGGATCATGACCTGAGCCGAAGGCAGTCGCTTAACCAACTGAGCCACTCAGCCGCCCCTATGATTCCTTTTATATGCTATATCCAGAATAGGCAAATCCAAAGAGACAAAAAGCAAATTAGAGGTTACCAGGGGATGAGTGATAGGGAATGGGGAATGATTATTTAATGATTATGGAGTGTTTTTATGGGATGCAAAGGTTTTGAAACTAAGGAAGACTGATGGTTGCACAATATTGTGAATACAATAAATATCACTAAATTGTACACTTTAAAATGGTTAATTGTTAAGTGAATTTCATTCAGTTTTTTTTAAAAAGGGAGATTTATGAGTATATTTACTATTTTTTTTAAAAGATTTTGTTTATTTGACAGAGAGAGAGAGAGAAGGAGCACAAGTAGGCAGAGCAGCAGGCAGAGGGAGAGGGAGAAGCAGGCTCCCCACAGACAAGCAGGCTCCCCACAGGGCAGGGAGCCCAATGCGGGGCTCGATCCCAGGACTCTGGGATCATGATCTGAACCAAAGGCAGCTGCTTAACCAACTGAGCCACCGAGGCTCCCATATATTTACTATTTTTGCTACCCAGAGACAAATGTTTTAAAGTGCAAGGAATAATGAATGACAAAAAAGGATGACTGTATTTGATATGGCAACTCCAATGTCTGGATATCTCTCCAAAGTCATTTTTCACTCATTTCTCTGCTTGGGAGAATTTATTCTTAACACATAATATTTTACCTGCAGTGTCTGCTAAGATAGAAATGGTGTTTTTTATAGAGTATATCGTTCTTTAGGGAATCGTGTAAGAGGCCCAGTTGCTCTGGGCCAGCAAAGTTGATAAAGGAGCAAAAGATATTCTTAGAGCCTACATTTAGATGGCATTCTGTTTCTCTTGGGCATGCCATTCTTTCAGGCTACCAGTTACCTTTTTAAAAAATTTTTTTATTGAGGTAAATTTCATGTAACACAAAATTAACCATTTTAAAGTGGCCTTTTGTGCATTTACAGAGTTGTGCAACTACCAGCTGTGTATTATTCTGAAACATTTTCATCACCCCAAAAGGAAATTCTGTACCCATTAAGCATATCCTTGCCAGCATTTGTTATTTTCTGCTTTTTTGATTATAGCCAGCCTAGTGGATATGAAATGGTACCTTTTTGTGGTTTCGATTTGCATTCTCCTAACGACTAACGAAGTTGAACATCTTCATGTGCTTATTGGCCATTTCTATGTCTTCTTTGGAAAAATGTCTACTCAAGTTCATTTTCTTTCTTTCTTTCTTTTTTTTTTTGAGTGTGGGGAGGCAGAGGGAGAGAGAGAATCTTGAGGCTCCATGCTCAGGGTGAAGCCCAAGGTGGGACTCGATCTCATGACCCTGAGATCATGACCTGAGCCAGAATCAAGAGTCAGATGCTTAACTGACTGAGCCACCCAGGCACCCCTCGAGTTCATTTTCTATTTTAAAAATTGGGTTCTTTATTTTCTAGTTGTGCAGTTATGTTCTTTATATATTATGGATATACACCTTTATCAGATATATGATTTGCAAATATTTCTGTCATTCTGTAGGTTGTGTTTTTACTTTCTTAATAGTGTCCTTTGATATACAAAGGTTTTTAATTTAGGTGAAGTTTCATTTATCTGTTTTTGTCTTCTGTTGCCCAGACTGTTGAATTCCTATCTAAGAATCCATGGCCAAGTCCAAGGTCATAAAGATTTTCCCCTAAGAAAACTCTTTCTTCTAAGAGTTTTATGGTTTTAGCTCTTGTATTTAGGTCACTAATCCATTTTGATGTAATTTTTGCATATGGTATGAGGTATGGGTCCAGTTTCATTCTTTTGCAAGTGGTTATTCAGTTGTCCCAGCACCATTTTTGAGGAGACTCTTCTTTCTCCATTAAATTGTCTTGTTATCTGGTTGAAAATCAATTGGTCATAGATATGTGGGCTTACCTTTGGACTCTAAATTCTATTCCTGCCATTTACTTTAATGTGGGCTGAGTTTTTTGTTTTTCTCTCTTTGATAACAGGATCATGGGGTTGATAGCACCATTTTCCAGAATCCCAAAAAGCTTCACCTAACCATTGGAATGTTGGTGCTTTTGAGTGAGCAAGAGATCCAGCAGACATGTGAGATGCTACAGCAGTGTAAAGAGGAATTCATTGAGTGAGTAATCTACAGGAATGGGGAAGGGTGGTCACCTTGTACTGGCTTCTCTTTGGTATCACAGACTTGTTTTTGCACTTAGGCAAACTTGTTTTTGTCACATGGCAACAAGGTCTGTTGACTCACCCACTTGTAACACTTAATATTGGACCATTGTCTGAAAGGGTTAAAATGGATTTAAAGCATATATTTACAAATTTTTATGGAAAGACTCTACCTTAAATTATACTAGTTCAGTTGACAAATTTTGTTAACAGGACATCCCATTATAGGGTATAGGATACTGTACTAGTTTTTTATGCTGGCGAACACATTACTACAAGCTTGGTGGCTTAGAACAGTGAAAATTTATTATCTTATAGTTCTGTGGGGTAGTTGATATGGGCTAAAATCATAGTGTCAGCAGGGTTGTGTTCCTTTCTCGGGGCTCAAAGAAAGAGTTCATTTCCTTGCTTTTAAAGCCCATCTTCTAGAGGCCACACCCACATTCTTTGGCTAGTGACCCCCTTCCTCCATCTTCAGCAATAGAAGCTGGAATTCCTTCTCTCTGACCCTTCTGTTATCCCATCTTTATCTCTGGCCATAGCAGGGAGGGTTCACTGCCTTTAAGGACTCGTGATTTGATTGAGCCCACCCAGATAATCCAGGATAATCGTTCCATCTCAAAGTCCTTAACCTTAATCACATCTGTAAAAGTCTGTCTGCCATGTAGGGTAGCATATTTACAAATTCCAGAGAATAAGATGTGAGGCTCTCTGAGAGCCATTATACTGTTACCAGAGTAACTCAAATATTATATAACATGATTCCTTACAAAGGTCTTCATTGTATTTCAAGAAATGCACTTTAATTTTCTTTCTTAAGTACAGGTAGTTTTCTAAGAATGCCAAAAACTGTCTAAGCAGTCTGTTTTAGCTCAGGGAAAACATTGCTCTTCTGGGGTCAGAGTTGTTACTCTTTTTACTATAAAATTTTAATTTACATGTATATCTGACCTAACAGCTTTATTTTAAAGAATCATCCCTTCCCTACCCTTTGCTTCTTTTTCTTAAGATTGATGAAGAATAAGAGAAATTGGAAAACTGACTCAGTTGAAGTGGTTTTTTTTAATTCAGTTATAATATTCAGGTCTCATGCTATTTTAATATGACCTTGTAGAAATGGGTTCCCTAGTTCATTGCATAAGACAAGGTAAAAGGATTGGGGTGCCTGGGTGGCTCAGTTGTTGGGTGTCTGCTTTCAGCTCAGGTCATGATCCCAGGCTCCTGGGATAGAGCCCCACATCGGGCTCCCTGCTCGGCAGGAAGTCTGCTTCTCCCTCTTCCACTCCCCCTGCTTGTGTTCCCTCTCTTGTTGTGTCTCTCTCTGTCAAATAAGTAAATAAAATCTTAAAAAAAAAAAAAAGACAAGGTAAAAGGATTAGAAATTTTTTCATGTATATGTTGTGTATGAAACTGTGTAACATAATGACTTATACGTGGGCCAGTTCTCCTTTCCCAGTTGTTTTGAAGGCAAGATATTTTTCTTGAGCAAAATCATAAGCTGATTGGATTTGCAGTCTGCAAAGAATACTTCTTTGTCCTGATCTTTGCTCACTGAAGGACATAACTGTTTCTCTCCATCTTAACCTAAAATTCAGAATAATTGGGTGTTTGCAATTAAGTATTTACAACTTCCTTACCTAAGATAAAACTTTATGCTTTACCTTACAAAGTGGAGCAATGTTACCTGGTTTAAGAGTTAGTCTTGATACCTTATTTCCAGATCACTTTTTGGCTAAATGTAACTGAAAGCAGCTGCATTTTCTTGGCTGCCATTAGGATAATCTTGCTAAGAAGAAATTTAAAGGTAGATAAAATATTGGTTTAGGGAAGTATTTGTTTTTTTACCTATGAAAATCAGGTCACAGGTTTTTAATCACTGAAGCTTTATCCTGAGCTATGGGAGGATTTAGCTGAGTTCCTCCGTTTTATGTCTTTTGGTGCCTTTTGTGACTAAATGCCAAATCTGAGCCCTTTAAGCATGTCAGGGTTGGTGTGCATAGGAAATGAAGAGCAGCCTTAATAGTTCCTAAGAATTTTTGACATGACAGGATGAAAACAGTAATTGTAGTTTCTCAAATTCAGCAAAGCTTTTGAAATAGGACAAAGTTACACTGCCAGAAATCTGCAGTGCAGGCAGAAATTTTTTTGAAGATGCTTTTTTCAAAAAGCTGGAAAGATTTGAAACCAGCAAGTAACGTAAGCCTCTCCAGGCCTCTTCTCCCACCTCCTCTGCCGCGTAAACTTGTTTAAAAAGTACATAGTGCAAAATTAATTTATTAGAATGAGAATCAGAATTGGCTGTTGAGATTGGTTAGAAGTGCCTTGTTTTCGTAAAAGGAAAAAATGTTTCCTAAAGAAAAGTACATGTACACACACACACTTGTGCACGCGAACACACACATGCACACACTTATGTAATAGCCCTGGTGAGTAAAATGTGTCATTTAACTTTTTTCCCTTCCTTATTCTTACTCTTTGATCTCAGCCTTTGTACTTGGTATACTTAGACTGTGAGTAAATAATGGCCTTTCTAATCTGAACCTTTTATGATGTAAAGATTCCAAATTAAAATATAAGAAAGGAAAACACTGAAATTGAACAGACTAATATATAACATGCTGTAGTTGGCTACAGTTAGATGGCTTTTTAAATTGAGGTGTTAAATAAATGGGGCTAGACTCAGATTGAATTAAAACTGTGCTGCTATATAGATGTTTTAAAGAAATGGGTAGTTGAATATTTGTTTTAAATTTTGGGATGTTTTTTGAGTTTAAGGAATGTTACCTACCAGAAACAGAACTTTGATTTCAGTTCTTAAGCTAACGGCTCATGTAGCTCTATCGATTTCAAATGAATTATTCAGTGTTCAGTAAATGCTGAAGCTCTAAATGTCTCCCTTGTGACTTTTCTTTGTGTAATGTAGAGCACAAACAGTGCAATGGCTCTGAGTATATAGTCTGACAAATATGCAGTACTTTTAAATTCCAGTATCACTTTTCTCGTACCTAAGTGTTCCCTGTAGGCCTGAGGTAACACCAAATAATAAGGTAAAAAGGGACAAGAGCAAGGACAGAAAAGGAAAATACCCATGGACAAATGTTGCCTCCTGATCATTGCCTCAGATGTCACTTAGTTGAAAAGTATGCTCACTGGTGTCCTGGGTGGAATAATTTTGTCACCAAGACAAAGAGCATTTACCAGGCAAACCACCGAATTTCTCTCCCTCTTGGTAAATCCTAGGGAAGGTCAGAAGAGTTTCTGATCCTACTCGTAAGGCAGGCTTTAGATCTATTTCATTGTTTTTATTTTTTGTTGTTCTTGGTACTGCATCTCATTCTAAAGATTTGAGGTGGTTCAGGGTGAGGACATAATGCAAAAGAAATGTTAAAGTCGTGGAGCTCAGAAACCATAAAGATGGAATGGGAGAAAATGTTTACCTGAAAACCAAGGAAAGGTTATAATTGTACTTGAGGAATAGAATTTAGTAGTTTTCAAGCCCTGGTATACTTGAACTACCTTCCAGAAAGAAACACATCGATTATTATTAGTTCTTATCTGATAAAAAGGAACATAACAAGTTTTTTTTTTTTAAAGATTTATTTATTTATTTATTTATTTATTTATTTATTTATTTATTTATTTGAGAGAGAGAGAGAATGAGAGATAGCACGAGAGGGAAGAGGGTCAGAGGGAGAAGCAGACTCCCCGCTGAGCAGGGAGCCCGATGCGGGACTCGATCCCGGGACTCCAGGATCATGACCTGAGCCGAAGGCAGTCGCTTAACCAACTGAGCCACCCAGGCACCCATAACAAGTTTTTAGGAGAGAATCCTTTGCTCTTTCTCAATCCGAGGAAAACTTGTCATGTAAATATTAACCTAAAATGATGATGAGCAGTGTCTTCAACAGGAATTTTACAGAAGATAAAAAAACATTGTTCACATGGTTCTCTTTTGTATAGATCCCTAGAATTTGAGGGTATAACATTAGACATAATCCAGTAAAAACATTTTATTTTTTTAAATTTATTTATTTTTAAAAGATTTTATTTATTTATTTGACAAAGAGAGACACAGCGAGAGAGGGAACACAAGCAGGGGGAGTGTGAGAGGGAGAAGCAGGCTTCCTGCTGAGCAGGGAGCCCGATGCGGGGCTCGATCCCAGGACCCTGGGATCATGACCTGAGCTGAACGCAGATGCTCAACGACTGAGCCACGCAGGCGCCCCCAGTAAAAACATTTTAGTGGGAAACTAAACCAATGGTGTGGTTATGCAGGGTTAGAGCTAAAGCCAGTAGAGGAATGTATAGTTAGTATTAAACTGTTTTTCTCATGTAAGTTTGGCTGGCTGCACTTTGATAGGATTGAATGGCAGTCTTTCATATTGAATTCTTTAGCTATTACTTCGACTGAGATACACTGTGTTGTTGGTTGAAGCTACAGGCCTCAGTAGTTTAGAGCTTGGCTTGTATTTTGGAATATCCCACTTATTAGAGGTGGTAATAGGGCTATTTACAATGAAGGCAATAATTTTTCTTGAATATCTGTCCAAAATAGTTATTTAGTTTCTTACTGAAAGAAATCCTGGTCTTGTGCAATAATATGGTCTTGAAGTTTTAAGGGAATCCTTTTTTTTTTTTTTTTTTAAGATTTATTTATTTATTTGAGGGCACCTGGGTGGCTCAGTCATTGAGCATCTGCCTTCGGCTCAGGTCATGATCCCGGGGTCCTGGGATCGAGCCCCACATTGGGCTCCCTGCTCCGCGGGAAGCCTGCTTCTCCCTCTCCCACTCCCCCTGCTTGTGTTCCCTCTCTTGCTGTGTCTCTCTGTCAAATAAATAAATAAAATCTTTAAGAATAAAAAGATTTTATTTCTTTCAGAAGGAGGGGAGGCAGAGGGAGAGGGAGAGGGAGAAGGATACTCCCCACTGAGCAGGGAGTCCAGTGTGGGGTTCGATAATTCTGGGATCATGATCTGAGCTGAAGGCAGACAGACGCTTAACTGACTGAGCCACCCAGGCGCCGCTAAGAGAATCTTTGCCGCGAAGATTCCTAGGCTACAAAGGGTCTCCCTATGGCCTTGGTTCAGTATCAAGAGAACTTTTTTGCTTTGCTTTTTTGAGAATTGCCTTTTGGTGGGTCCTAATATCCTTTTGTCTTTGAGTAGTACCACATGGTTTTCAATGACATATAGGGATGTGTCCACATTCTTCTCAAAATTGTCCAGAAAAGTTTCTCTCTTTAGAGTAGAACATCTGATCAGTGTTTAACAGAGATTTATGGAGTACCTATTTTATAGAAGGTACTGTGCCAGGTGCTGGGGATATAGGAGTAGACAAGATGGATAGACTTCCTGGCCTCGTGGGGCTTGCAGAAGACTGTGGTGGTGAGCTGATTTTTAACTGGGTTTCAGCTTGGCACTGCAAGACCATTTCTGGTTGAAGTATAAGTCTGTGTAAGGGGTCTGGGAAGAAGAAGGATGGTGAGGCTTTATGTAACAGAAAAGTAATAACATGCACACGTGAAACTAATATAATGTATCTCAGTTATACTTCAATTAAAATAAAGTAATACATACGAGTTTTGGAAAAGTCAAAGTTGCAGACATAAAAAAATACCACTTTTAATCTTACTACTTAAAGATAATTACTATTAAGGCTCTCACACTCTTTTATATGTATGTGTGTATTTTTTCTTTGAGGTGTAATTGACTTATAGTAAAATGCACAGATCTTAAGTGTAGTTGATGAATTTTAACAAATGTATGCACTCATGTAACTTCAGCCAAATCAAGATGTAGTACATTGTCATCACTGTGAAATTCCCTCATGACCTTTTCTGGTAAATTCACTTCTTCCAGAAATAACTGTTCTGATTTCTGTTTCCATAGATTAATTTAGCTTGTTCTTGAATGTCATATAAATAAAATCATTCAATATATACATTTTTGTGTTTGGCTTCTTTTGCATATATGTGCAGTAGATAAACTTGTGTTTGGCTTCTTTTGCTTCTATATTTTCATTAACTTTTTAATGGATAATACATTTGTATGGTTCAAAATTTTAAAGATACAAAGGATATGCAGTGAAGAGTTTCCTTCCTACTGCCATTCCCACCAAGCACCCTGCTCTCCTCTCTAAAGGCAACAAATTTTAGCAGTTTTTTGTATCCTTCCAGAGATTTTATGTACAAGGAAATGTATACATATATGAGTACATATATATATATATTTCTTACCCCATCTTTTGCACAAATAGTAATATATGGCATGCACATTGTTGTGCACCTTTTCTTAAAACCCTAATGAGTATTTATTTAATCTGTTGCCAATCTTTGGTTGCTCCAAACAATGCCTCAGTCAAACCCTATGCATAAATTATTTTTCATGAGTATGAGTATAACCTATTACATCATATCAGAAAGTGTGTACTGTCTGGCTGTTCTTTTTTGTGTTGTGTGGTAAGCCTGACCAGTGGGCTCAGGTGTGGTCAGCCCTCTATAGGGATCTTTATATTTCTCCAATCTTTTGCTGTTAAGTTTCAGCAGCCATCACTAATCATTGTCTTCATCCATTATTTCGTCAGGGGTTGCAAAATGGTGATATTTTAATTTCGTCATTACTTCTGCATTTATCAGTTGGAATTCTGTATTTATCAGTTGGAATTCTTCTGTAAAGAGCTTTCCTTTATCAACTGTGATTGAATATGTAGCTGAATTCATAATTATTTCCTTAGGTTTGGCTCCTAGAAATCGAATTGCTTGCACAAGAAAGGGTTTCTGTTCTTGAAGGCTTTTTATAAATATTCCCAAATTGCTGTTAAAGATGTGATACTACTTTATGCCTCCACCATTGTTAGATGAGTAAAATGGTGTTTGCAGGTTGTAGAAATAATGAAGTAAAACCTGAGAGATGAGCAACAGAGTGAATGTCTTTGTCAACCAGAACTGTCATTCCTTGGCTTTTTTCCTCTGAGTACTAATAAACTGGTATTGAGATAACTATAGTGTGACTTTGGAAATAATTGTGTTTCTAGTCGGTGTGCATAGAACATGTTAATTTTGAAATTAGAAGGATGATTAGATAATACTGTTAGTAAAAAAAAAACCCAGCAATTTCATTTTTGTAATATTTGACTGTATAATAACCATGTTTAAAATATAATGGCCCTTTCAGCTTAGTATTTTAGTGTATGTGCTGCCGAAGCGAGCACTCAGCTTAAACATTTATGAAAATCTAATGTTTTTTCCTTTGCAGTGGCATTTCTGGGGGGAAACCCCTAGAAGTAGAGATGGCAGGCATAGAATACATGAACGATGATCCTGGCATGGTGGATGTTCTTTATGCCAAAGTCCATATGAAAGATGGCTCCAACAGGTATGTTTCTGGAATGCTTCTTTGCTTTCATCAAGAAGTTCCTAAAAGTATTCCTAGAAGTTCAACAAGTTTTGATTCCTTTTCTTTGAGACCTTATTATTGTACAGAGTGTCAATTCTTTCTTTTCTTAAAATAGGAAGCTAATATCTTAAGAGAGGAATTTGTTGTAGGAAAAAGTATCAGATTTTAATCTGATAATGATCGAGTTACTTGGGTGGTAGATATTGATTATAGCAATCTAGTTTTATAAGCTCAACAAGCTTTCTTCATGTTTTTCAGGGTTATAGGAGGCAGGAAGGATGGCATTTTAGTATGGTAGTTGGAAAAGTGACATAATGCAGATCTAGTGAATACCAGGACAAAATGGGGATAACTCTGTAAGATTATTAGGATTAAGTTAATTTTGTAACTCTGTAAGATTATTAGGATTAAATTAATTTACATGAATGCTTAGAACAATGCTTAGCGCATGCAAACATGTGTTTTGAAATACACATCAACAAATGTTTACTGTTTTTTACTAGTGTTATTATCACACTTAGATCACTTGTAGAGATTCTCTGCAACCCAGGCTATTTCTGAGGCTAACCTAGACATCCAGAGCGATTTCCAATGTTAACACTATTTATTAGTCTAGTCAAGGTCTTCAGTGAGCAGAGGAGCCAAACTTAAATTGGAAGTTTGTTTTTGTGGTCTTTTTATTAAGGCAGGTTAGAACAGAGCTCACACTGAACCAGAAACCCTCTAGAGAAAATCAAAGTCTCTAGGCAGGCCCCCAAATTGATTTGCTTTTGTAGAGGATCCCTTGTAAAGTTTCTCTTATCTCAATTCAAATTGATAATCTCAATTATCTCCTATCTCAATTCAATTGGAAGTGAATTTTGGGAGGAAGGTAGGAAAAGACGATACAGAATCAGGCGTTGTGTGTGTTTTGGACCAGATTTGTCTTTTCTTAGATACCTGGCATGTGCTTAAATAGCATATTAATGACCTTGCCTTAGAAATTAGGGGCACATTGTTCCTTTGTTCCCAAAACATTTCTACCAGGTTGGAATTTGGTATCTGGTATGGATCATTTACTTTGTATTGTAAGCTGTAGCTGTCCAAATGTCTTCACCATGTTGTACGGCTGCTGTGTATGGGGTAGATTACTTTTCAGTTTTGTGAACAAAAACAGTGAATGATAAGGTAGCAGTTCTCAAACTTTTTATTTACATAATCACTTTAATTTCTTAAAAATTATTGAGGACACCAAAGAGCCTTTTTCTATATGGGTTATAGTTATTAATATTTACCTTATTGGAAGTTAAGATTGCAAAATTTAACATTTGATAGTTCATTAAAAATAGTAATATATTTTTTTGTTTACATAAATAACATATTTTTCATGAGAAATCTATTTCCCAAACCAAAAATATTTAGTGAGAAGATAGACATTGTTTTACATTTTTGTAAGTTTCCTTAATAGAAGACAGGTGGGTTCTTAAAACTGCTTCTGTGTTCAGTCTATGCATTATGTTGTTTTGACTGAAGTATATAAGAAAATCTGGACTCACTCAAAAATGGATTTGGGAAAATGAAGAGTACTTTAATAGTCTTTTCGGATAATTCTGGATATTTGGTACTACACTAAAACTTGACAAGTTATAGTTTCGAAAAGGTCATTTGCAATGTGAAATCAGAAACGAGATCAGTGAACATTTCATACTCTTAAATTAAAATCCATTGGTCTCTTTTGCATTTTGACTGGATCTTTAACCTATGTACAGTTTTGTATTGGTCATTTAGAAAATACTGGTTCGCTGAGTTTTGCAGGTCTTCCAAATGTTGACAAATTTCACTAAGCAATTATAAAAATGTATTAATTGAGGGCGCCTGGGTAGCTCAGATGGTTAAGTGTCTGCCTTCGGCTCAGATCGTGATCCCGGGGTCCTGGGATTGAGTCCTGCATCGGACTCCCTGCTCCTTGGGAGCCTGCTTCTCCCTCTGCCTCTCTCTCTCTCTCTCTCTGTCTCTCATGAATAAAAATTTAAAAAAAAAAATCTTTAAAAAAATGTATTATGCTACTAATTTTATCACAGTCTTTAAGTATTAGGAAGCTGCTGTCAAGCTCATGGTAGCAGATACACATTTTCTAAAATTCTAATTTTCACTTGAGAGCTTGAATTTTATTATTGGCCAAAAATACTGTTTTCCTTGAAGTTCTTTCTTGAGATAATGTCTGTCAAATAACCACGTCTGAATAACTAATTTGTCAGTCCTTCTTTCAGATACAAATGGTGTTCATGGATAAAGAGGCTAGTTCAGCTCCAGCTCTGACAACCTCACAAGTGCTTTCCTCCCAACAGCCATCTACTTCGATACACAGCCCAGCTGCTTTATACATACTGCCAGTTTATCCCACAGGGATATTCAAAAGGCATGTATTTGGGATGCCTAGGTGGCTCAGTCGGTTAAGCATCTGCCTTTGGCTCAGGTCCTGTTGGGTTCCTTGGTCAGAGAGGAGCCTGCTTCTCCCTCTGCCCCTCCTCTGCTCATGCTCTCTCTCTCTCTCTCAAATAAATAAATAAAATCTTTAAAAAAAAAAGGCATTTATTCAAGGCCTGAGATTTAATAAAATTGATCATTTTTACTGTTTCATCAAGGATAAATGAAACTAGATTTTTTTTTTTAAACTGTGGATTTATAGTGAAGAATATACTACTGCTAGTACAATTTGGTGCTGCTGTCTTAATTCATGCTAAGGTGCCAACAGTTTTACCCAGCATTGCTTTTGTACTGTCCATGTAAATGTCATTACAGTGAAAAAGACAAATAATGTCCTACAATTATTATAAATATAGTTTTCACCTCATGGACTCCCCTCAAAGAGTCTCAGGGACCTCCAAAGGTCCACAAATGATACTGCAACAATCTTTGATCTAGGTAAGGTTTTATTTCTAACACTGAAGATTGCATAGTTTCTGGGGAAAATACAACTAACTTGTTTTTCAGTTACTCTTACCTGGCACTGTGCTTAGATTATATTATCTCCATTTTATCTTAGCAACATCTGTGTAAGATAGATGCTATTAGTATGCCTGTTTTATAGATAGGGAGGTTCAGAGAGTTTAAGTAGTTTGGCTAAGGAATGCATAGACAGCAAAACCATGCTCTGAAAACCTAGGCCAATAAAGGTTTTCAGTGTGTGTATGCTAGGTTAAGTAGGATAGACTTATGTTCCCATTCTTATTTCTAGAGTAAAATGGAAAGTTGTAACCCACTTTTTTTTTGAAAGTGGTAAAATTCACACAACATAAAAATCACTGTTTCAACTGTCTTAAAGTATATAATTCCGTGGCATTAAGGACGTCAACAACGTTATGCAACCGTTACCACTGTTTAGTTCCAGACCATTTTATTTTTATTTTATTTTTTTAAGATTTTACTTGTTTATTTGACAGAGAGAGAGACACAGTGAGAGCGGGAACACAAGCAGGGGGAGTGGGAGAGGGAGAAGCAGGCTTCCCGCCGAGCAGGGAGCCCAATGCGGGGCTCGATCCCAGGATCCCCGGGATCATGACCTGAGCCGAAAGCAGAGGCTTAACAACTGAGCCACCCAGGCGCCCCAGGGCTGACTCACTTTTAAAATGTACTAAAGTTTTTATTTCCTTGATTAATTTTGTAGTTTTATAGGGCATCATTCAGCCTGACCTCTGTTTCCTTATTATCTGTTACGGGATTTATTTAATTTTTGTTCATACTAGTTTAAACCTTACTGTTGTAGAACTGAAATATGTGATAGCCTATAGACATACAGTTAACATGAAGCTGTGTGGAAAACTTAGATGGGATTACAGCATTTTATTAAATAAAATAGTGAATTTTTCCTAATCTACGGCTTCACGTGTATTTTAACATATATATGCCATGGACTTTACAGTTTTTATTTGCTCTATTCTTGGTGGCCCCCAGAGGGAAAAAGAGAGGTCACTGGGAAGAGATAATAAAATCATTACTTTGAATTTTTCCATTGGATATCTTTACCTTTTGCTTTAATGGTTAGACCGTTGGTTCTATAGGAGGTCTTCAAGTATAAAGAATAATAGGTTTTTGAGATTGGAAGAAAATAAGAGCTATAGAAGCTAGATGGCTTTTGAAGACAGTGCTTAGACATAATTGGTACCCACATGAATGGAACAGTGGGTACTTCAAAGGTGAATACACCCATTATTTTCCCATAGATCCAGCCCTTCCAAATTTTGCACACTTACTGTTGTCAAGGCTTTGTAAATTGAAAGGTCTGATGAGATATCCACTGAATCCACTAGTGTGATCAACAAAACATTTTTGAGTAATTCCCATCTCTCTTACTGCTCTATTTTTTTTTCTATTGCCCATTCCTCTTTCACAAGGAGAGACATGTTTATGTTATTTTTAAAAGATTTGTAAATTTCCCTCCTCAAATTTGTGGGAATTACCAAGAGACTTAAACACCTCTTATTTAATTCAATTTTTAAAACAATTTGAATGCCTCCTTTGTGCAAGGTGTTTTGGAAGGCTGTGCAAATTGATCTAGAAAGGAACATTAAATCTTTTTGTTTGTTTATATGAAGAGATACTGCTCAATGCAGGAGGCATGGGAGAGAGACCATGTTGTATTAAAAATACATTCAGCTTTCTTTATATGATTTCATGTAGTTTAAATCAGAGATTCCTTCCCGTAACATGATTGAATGGGAAGTGACTGACCTTTAAAAGGATGGAACCACTTAGATCAGATTTTTCCTCTGGAAACTTTGAACTGGGACAGTGTAGGTTCACTTATTGATGCATCCTTGGGTTTGGTAAAGCATGACTGGGTAAGGAATTTGTGGCAGTCAGCTGTTGCTAAGACTAAAGCATTGAATGAAGTGGCTATTCTGTTCTGTCTGGTACTGTCACATGAGCTTCCATCCTTGCCCCTCTAAGAAGAATGGCTTCCTCACATTTTGCTAAGAACACAAAGTCAACTCGGCAAC